GTTTTATACCCGATAAAACACTCCTGCTCGTTTATTAAACATTACATAAAACCTCCTTCATGGTCATGATTTCTATTGTTTCCTTCATGAATTATTAATGAGTTTTTTGATATAGTAGAATGCAATTTTAACAATATATCAGTGAAATAGCACAAAAATTAAAAAGCATGTTTCAATCTTTCAATTTATTCCTTTGCTATTCTTGGAATAGCATTTAGGCTCCCCTCTATTAGAGTGAGCTAAGACTTTACAAGATTGTAAAAGGTTCTTGTAAAATATGCTTTTCTGACCTTAGTTTTATTGTTTGTATATTGATCGTTCCAGGTCTGAAGTGGTTGTTGAATCAATTAATAGTATTTCACTGATATATGGTTTGCACTATAGTAATGTTGATTCCAACCCAATTAATGGAACGTTTTGAACTTAATTGTTATTTTTATAGGTTCGTTCTTGCACAGAAGAAGCACTTAACTGGTGCAAAGCAATGGTTGACCCAAAGAAAGATGTAAGTGTTATATGTTATACCCATCTATTTTGACATTCTTCCTTCCATTCATTCATGACATTCCCCCTAAGATCAATTCACCTATCCAACCATCCATCCACCCTTCCCTCTATTCCATCACTCCATCACTCCATCAATTTCACAAAATTCACTAAATAAATTCTTTAATAAGTTAAAATGTTAGTATAATGTTAAAAATATTTTGCATCTTTTAGCATTAAATATTTTATTTATTTTGTTTTATTTTGTTTTATTTTATTTTATTTTATGTTATCTTATTTTATTTTATTTCATTTTATTTATTTATATTTTTTTTCATAATTTAAAATGTGTGAGTAATGCATAAGGAATATGAATTCTCAATCTAAGATAAAATTTGTGTTAATTTTTTCATTATTTATTTTTGTATAAATATTCTTTCTTTTTTTTTTAATCTCCAATCTTTGATGTCTCATTAAGAATGTTGTGTTGTTTACTCTAGATCAATTTTAAGGCACAGCTTCTCCATAAAGCTTGTTTAAAACATGGTCAACTCATGATGGAAGGTATTAATGGCCAAGGTAGGTGTAACACCAATTTACAAACTCTGTAATTTTGTTCTTTCTCTGGCCCCCACCCCCCACCTCTCAGAATTTCCAAATTCCTCTGTGGGGGGAGGGGTATGGATAATTTCTGGAACTACACAATATCAATAATAAAATCCTTTGAATTGAAGCTATCCAGTTATTGAGGCATTTATTGATGGCTTTTGAATATCTTTTATATTTATTTCTAATATATTTCAGCCATAGACCGTCATCTACTTGGTCTTAGCATGATAGCCAAAGAAGAAGGTTTGTTTGTCTGTTTTGGTTTGGTAAATAATAAAAAGGTCTCCAAAATTTATCCCTATTTTTGTAGAAACAGTAATATAACCTKCCTTATTAAAGAAATCATAGTTTTGTGAATAAAATATTTAATGAAACGAACTTATAATCGAAGAAAACTGGCCTCATTTGTTACATGACGTCAGTTCTGTGTGAAAGCAGTGCGCATGCGTACATTTCTTGTGATCCCACATTAGTTTACGCATTGAAATGATAGTATTGATTTTCGCTAGTAATTTCTAGCTAAGRCCGTACTTACTAGGATCATTTCTATAGTACGTGTCCCGTCTTTGTTTCCCAACAAAGGCAACCACTTCAACCACGATGACGAGTCATAGTGTTTCCTTCTGAGCGCGAAGCAAGTCAAGGGCATTGCCTTCATTGGCAAGTCGCCACTGGCACTTGATGAACGTTCCTCTCCTTTGCTTAGCGAAGGAATGGAGGAAGGRAACGCATTCAGAGTGGTTGAGGAATTTTTTTATTAAAAATAAATGTTAAAGGAATTACTAAAGAAATTTAGTTTGAGAAAGGTAAGAGAAAAGGAAATTCATGTAGCTAAATAACTTGAACACCGTGTTCAAGTTATTCACAAGTTAGTATGGAAATTATTTATCATTTGTCTAAAAGAAACTAAGGAAAATTCAGTCCCGAGTCTTCGTAGTAAACGAAGTCGTTTATTAGTATTACAATCGCTCAAGGAATAAAGTCGAAAGGAACCTTTCAGATTATTACCTAAAAGGCTTTTGAGATTAAAATTCGTTAGAGGGTAGGTTTTATACACTTTCTTCGTTGACAATCTCAGGAAACCTTAAACATTCGAGGTATTATTCGGAAAGATACCACGCTTGAGAAAGAACGAAAGCGAAAAGTCATTCTTGATCGGTATTGCGTGACGCAGACTATCAAACACGCGGCATAAATTATTGGTGTCATGCTCGAACACAGGTAGCCCAAACTTTGTTTGTGACAGCCTTGTACATAAAATGTATGGGGATTTCTAAGTTTTGATTTTCTCAAGATCATCTTTTTTTAAAAAAAAAAAACAACAGAACTTCTAAGGTGTCTTGATGTGTGTCAAAAAGCGCCAAAAACTAGACTTTCGTATGAGTTTTGATCCCMATTTTCGTTTTGGGTTAACACTCAAAACCTTTTTAAAACAGTTAGAAACTGATGTACTATGATAAAATGCCTGTTTGAAGCGGTATTTTCAATTGTGCAAAGATGTTTAGTTGCATTTATATTAGAATGTTGCTTTGTCAGGCTTTTTTATAGAAAATGTATGGGGAAAAAGCAAGTGAAGGCCTAAACCTTATTTTCGAATAAAATTTTTGCTTTGGGTTAACACTTTGATTCCACTTTCATCGGTCATCTCCACTCTCAAACAAGTTAAACTTTCTGAATAAGATTTTAGCCTTGTACAACAGCCTTTCTTCAAGAAAATAGTTTTTGGCGCACACTGCTTGAATACGAAAAGAATTCTCTCTTAAAATAAAAGCTTATGCGAAAAGCATACGATGAGCTTCCTTTAGGTTTCGTTGAATAAATATATCGCTCACAAATCTTATACCTGAAAAAATATCAAATATTTGGATGGAGTTATCGAGAGCATTTTGATAGGTTTTTTCTTATTTTTTAGGTATACCAACTCCTCAAATATACTTAGATAAGTCTTGGACAAAAAGGTACGTTATTGTGTTCCTTCATTTGTCTACCCATTTTCGTTTATTTATTTTCCAGCATAGTGTTGATAGTGGAAATTACTTTCTGTTTACGAGTGGCATAATTTTTACTGTGTGTGGTTTATTTTATTTTATTTTTTTCGTTCATTCCTTCATCATTTAACCATCCATCCATCGATTCATCCATTCGTTCGTACGTTCATTCATTCGTTTGTTCGTTCATCCATCCATCCATTCATCCATTTACTTGTACTCTTTGAACTATTTATATTATATTTTTATATAATTTTATACGTTAGAGTTACGGCCTCTAGGTAGACCAACTCAGAATTGTCATGTATTTTCTAATCGATAGAGTTACCATGTTTTACCATGTATTCATTTTTCCATCTATTTATCCATCTATCTATCCATCCATTTATTCAATCATTCATCCATTCCTTGTTCTGTTACAGTGGCGGTAGTGGTAATTACACCCTGTCTACAAGTTGCGTTGGTTTTACGGAGATTTATGGCTCATGCGCTCCGATGGTGGCGGACGGATACGGGATTTTTTACAGCATAGAAGAACACAGGTATTGACGGCTTGATGTTGCTTGCTTAAGTTTTCCTTTTTTTTTTTTCATTGTATTTTATTTTTTCTAATTTAATTTTGCAAGTTTTTATTTTTTTATATTTTCTTTATTTATTTCTTTCTTTCTTTCTTTCTTAATAAATATATTTGTTTCTTTCTTT